TGAGACCTTGGGCGCGATGAGTATTTGGTTCATAGCGAACCTGGGGAGATCAGAATGGATCCTGCCCGACAGTTTAGAGATCAGTTGGGGAAATCAGCATCTTTCTGGGCAAACACTTTGTTTGTCACCGTGTGTTGCGGCTCGTGTTTGAACGCGGGAAGTGAAAGTTTAAACCTGAACCAAGCCTAAACCCACCATAATCCAAACCCTAAACCAACCCTGAACCAGCCTAAGCAAACCCAAACACAGCCATAAACCCACCCTCAGTCCATGCATGTGTGCAAAAATGAGCCACAACTGATGTTTGAAATTGATTCACCTTCCATAGTTTGGTGGATTCATTTTCCTGGAAAGAATGCGAGAAAGGGTTGGGATCAAGGAGAAGTAATTAGGTTGGGATAGGACGCCTTCATTTTCTCGTTCTTTTGGAACCCTCCCTTCTCCCGTTTGAAACGAAGGATTCCGGAAGAACTGCACTGAACGAGGCCATGCAACTCAACAGCAAAGATCTGAGGTTTGGTCCAAATATCCCGTCTGGGAGGGACATGAGGGGCATTCACTCATTCCTGCCCTTCATTGGAACAGATCTTTTATTTTGGACCCGGAACATTGGAAGGTAAAAGCAACCCTTTTGACCAGGTTGCCCCAAAATTTTATACATCTTGAAAGTTGGCCTTCCAACGTCCGCTTTTTCCTTGCGGAGGGTGAAATTCCGGCCTGAAATCCCTTTTGCGAGGATGCGGAAGGGCCCCGGACTCTTACCAGCCGGGGCTGGTTGCAACGAGGTTCAAAAAGTGCAACATCCTTTGGAAGTCTAAGATGGTTTCCACTAGACCCAGAATCCTCGGACGTACATATCAAACTTTTTTGGAGTACGCACTCATGTTTGTAGGTTTATTCCTAAAAATGCTCGTAGCCCACAAGGTGGTTTCCTTTTTTGGGGGACCAAGGCCTAGATTCATTCCAACTCGTTCCCCTAAGATAGGCCAACTCATTCCAACTAATTCAGTCCAACTCATTCCAACTCATTCCGATCGCAATTCTTCAGGCCCCCCCCCCCCATCCTTCGAGCACGCCCGCAATTGTGGCCCTCGAGGTGTGTGTTCAGACGGAGCTGCGACTCAGTGAGGCGTGGGGGCTTCATTGCCAAATGGGCAGCTCGTCCTTGGAAGGCGCCTGACTGTCTTTTGTTTGTGGTGTTAAAGGGGAAACCAAGAAAGAAAACCCACCATTCCCCAAAACAACACATGTTTGTTTGTGGCTTTAAAGGGTCAACCAGGAAGAAATCCACCATTCCCCTAAGCAACACATGTTTGTTTTTGTGTAAAAAGGTTGGGACACCAAGAAGAAATCAGCAACTTCCCAAAAATTGTGGTTTTAGAGGAGACACCAAGAAGAAATCCACCATTCCCCTAAAAGACACTTTGTTTCTTGTGGTTTTAAGTGGAAGCCAAAAAGACATCCGCCATTCCCCAAAAACTCACCCTGATTTTTGTGGTTTTGAAGGGGGCACCAAAAAGAACACCTCAATTTTTTGGGGTCCCCTAAACACGACACACCCGCATTGGGATGTTGCAGGTCCTGCCGCTCGGGAGAAAGGTTTGTTTTGCCCCAGATGGGCCAGGTTTCGCCTTAAAAAAGTCGTCCTGCTCCTCAAAGTACCAACTTAAAGCTGCTTGAAATCACCCACCATAAGACTCTAAAGCCGGTTGAAATCACCCACCAATTGAACATAGTTGGCAATGTTCTCGATGTGTTAGAGCAGTTTTTTGACGGTCCAGGTGCCGTTTTCGTGCATCCGATCATTTTCCTGTTCAACGAACAAAAAGGGACGTGTTCGCAGTTCGACGTCTGGCCCAATCTTACGGGGATTCGGTGCATGCGACCCAATATGCAGAGTTATATGGGTGGCTCGTCTTTTGTTAGGCCCCGTCCAGTAAAGAAAAGAGACAAACGGGTTTTCCTTTTGGTTTCCCCTTAAAATCAAGCAGAACGGGCATCCACCAAGCCCAGCAGTGAGATGGTCGAGGCCTGTAAGCCGCCCTGGTCAGAGGCAAGCCATCGTGGCATGTGGAGGGAATAAGCCACTGGGTTTACGTCTACCCTGATATCAATTGTACTGAAAACAGTGACATGACGTGAACGTTTTTGGTTTCAACATTTTTCACGGCCCCAGAAGGTGATCATTTCTTGTTATTGGGTTCCGACCACAGCTGTTATTCCAACTCAATTTGAATACGGCGTCTCGAAAAATCGGGAACGGTACAAGAGACCTGAACATTTGTATGTCCAGAAGGAGACTCCTCGTTATCTTTTGACTCGCTCTTCAGTTCTAGAGAAGATGTGGAATAGCCAATCAATGCCAGGCCAAGCTGTGATTCTGCACAAATTCTGACGAGCTCCGGGGAACGAGTTTATCCGAGGGGATTGTTCATTCCCTTATCCTAGGGCTTCGCCATCACCAGCCCTGGGTTGACTCGGACCAAACAAACTCTACCAGCCCGTTGGCTGTTCTTGGCGGTGGACGCATGCATCCTCTCGCCTATGTGGGAATCTCACGTCCCCCTTTTGCATCCTCCGGCCTACCTGCCCCCAAACTATCCATACAAAGGGAAGTCACCAACTTTTTTTTTAGAGCGGCAACCCATTTTTAAAGTTGGAGTTTTGAGTGTCCACCTGAGGGTCATGACCCCTCCCATGCAGACCCCCAGACCCTCCAATGCTCCGACCCTGGGCCCTCAAAACAACCCATTTTGAGGCCCCAATCAATCTTCACCAACCATGTTTTGAGGGCAACCCATTTTTTAAGTTGGAGTTTTGAGTGAATTGCTGGCTCAGGCGGCCGTTTTTAAGTTGGACTTTGGAGGGGTCCAGGTGGTTTTTTGGGGCGGCAGGCGGAGGTGCAGGCCTGCACTCAGACAGCAGAGGCGGAAGTGCAGGCCAAGCCCCGCCTCAACCGACGCTTTCTTTTTTCTGTTTTCTTGTCCGGGCTGCTTCCGATTTGATCGGAGACTGGGTTGCCCTGGAACTAAAACCGACAAGGCCCATCTCCTGGTGGTTTGGTTTTGACCCACAATGTCTGGACACAAATACCGTGGATTGACGACATCCATTTCGCACCACAATCGGAAGCCACGGCTTCTCAGGTTGGACCCAGGTGTTCCTCAGGTTTTTGGGCCACTTTCTGGCGGCCGAGGGACCTAAGTGAGCTGAAAAAGCCTGAGAATCCACTCGGATGCCCCCCGGTTCTGCTCCGACTTGTTCAACTTTTTGGTTGTTGAGCGGGGAAAAATCCGGTAAAATCCAGCAACGAAGAGGAGCGCCTCTTTTTGGTGCTCGTGGCCACTGGGGGTGTCTCGAGGTTTATACGTTGGCAAACTTTTGCTTAGGGGTCCTCCCTTTTTTTTGGAATGCACGCGCCGCCCGGAGGTTTTCAAGGTTTTATTGGGGGGCAGAAACCAAAACAAAGACGACTCCCTGGGGCAAGGGGCACTTTTCTCAGTTGTTCAGTGGCACCAATTCTTTTTCCAACTTTTTTTGGTGGCTGCCAAAAACTAAAGATGGTCCAAGCCGCAAAAATTGGGTTCCCTTTTTTTTCCAGGGTCACTGGACAACTGGGTTTTGGCTGGGACTCTTCCGTGCAAAGGTCGAACCACAAATATCTTCAGAGGCAGAGCTAAGCTTCGGAGTGGGAGGGAGGGGAACTTTTTGGTGCGGAGAAAGAGCAGCCACAATTGGGGTGTCTCAGTTGTATTGTTGACCAAACTTGAATAAACCCCAGTTTGTGGAGGGGGGTTCCCTGGGTTCAGTGGGGATGTAGACCACTTGTGGAGGGGAAGGCCCCCAAATTAATGAGCAGGGGTTGATGAATCTGGGGTCAACAATAGGATGTTTCAACTGATTCGCCCAAGACGGATCTATCGATCTTGCGCGGCGTTTGTTTTTGGTGCGTGCTCTGAACTCGCATACTTGAGCAGATCAGTTTTTGTACTGCCGGCAAATGAGAGTGGTTAAAGAAAGGCTACCTGAAACTCAAGCCGCAAGCCCCACATGATGTGCCTAGTTAACCCAGGCCTCAAACAGCATGTTTTTGCCACTCGTGGTTCGGTCCATAGTGCCAGGGGTTTGCCCCGGGATGCCATGATGCTTTTGTGTTGCTCATGACATATTCACCTCCCCACGCAGGAAAGTTTGCGCGTTTGGCAAGGGAAGGCCATCCCCTTCAAAGGCAGTCTCTCCTGCTAGAGATCTAAGAAGTAATTACCCTCCCCCAAGAAACACAGAACCTGCACAGGGGTTCCCTTGAAAGGAAGTTTTGCAGGAAATCCAGTGCAGGTTCTATGTTTTCTTTTGGGAGCGTAGATTCTCCCTGATTTCGTGGGGGCTCTCGGCTTTTGTGGTTTTCGCTTGGCACACTTGAAAGAGCGATTAATTTGGGCACGAGCCCTAAGTGGGTCCGTGATGCTGTTGTGCAGCCTTCCTGCCTCCGATCTTGGCTGAAGGGACGTCGCGAAATCAGCGACTCAGTCCTTTTTCCGGCCAAGGCAAACAGTTTGCAGTCGTTTCAAATCATCATTTGATTCTAAGTTATAGCGGACTCACCGGCCAAAGTTTGCAGTGTCCCCATGATCGAGGTTCCTTAGGGATTCCTCACTTCAGCCGTCACCGCTTGAAGATGTTGTGAAGCTGCCGTAGGTCTGATAGGTTTATAAACAGAGATTCAGAGATGAATCATAACACGTGCTTACATGTAAGATCACCAATACCATGTATTGCATCTACACGAGTACCGTCCTAAAAATGGGTCTCCTTTGCGGATTTTGAATGGGAAGCCTAGATTAGATGAAGACCAGTAGGGACCTTTCACAGATACGCTCGCTTCGGATCGCGTCGACGGGCCAAAAGAGTCCAAACTTTTTGTTCACCAACAACGGCCTTCCCAATTACTTTAAAGTGCAGCTCATCCCTTGGAAATAGGTTAATTCATGTCCCTCTTTTCAGGGTACTTTGTCTTTGCGCGGGCTTCGCGATGGCAGCCTTACAGCGCCCGGTCTCAGGCGCGGCCGGGTTTGAACGAAAATTCAGGAGTTGTCTACGGCTTTGGGAAGGACGAGAGGGGACGAGCTCTCAATTTCTCCACTCACTGTCCCATGTCCTCTTGGGGCAACTGCAACATCTTGACCTCGACTCATGTCTATAGCTAGGTTGTATACGTTGCAATGGAACAATGAGGGGTACACTTTGAGCAGAAAGGCTTGGTCCAACTAGATCGGACAGCTTGGTACAAACTGCTTCACCAACAGAAAAAGTCGAGAGCTTGATGCGATTCTGCTACTTCGTCTTCGCAGACTCATTTCACCTGGATTCTGCCGTTCGAAGGCTTGGCTTTTTGGGCGGCCTGGCTCTGGATGCTCCGTGGCCCTTGACGCAGCTGCCGGTTCCGTATCCTTTGGCTTCCAGAAAACTGCTCCGTGTCCTGGGGCCCAGGGCACCTGGAGTCTCCGCGAATGACCCAAATAAAAATAAAAAAAGGGGGGGTGGCGAATGACCCCATCCATCTTGGGCGGATGACCCCGCCATTTTTATTTTGGGTCAGAAAAAAAGACTCCAGGTAGGACTTTCTGTGATGGGCCGAGTTTCTCGTTGCAGCTTTCCCTGGAGCGGTCGACGGTTTCCTTTAATGTGTCCTTTCAGGGAATCTGCTTCTCGGCGCGATCGCGCCGATGGAATGAGTTCAAGCTCAGCCTCTTAGACTCTTTGTGAGTGATTTCACCGGCCCTCAGAAAGCTTTTCAGGAGAACATATGGGCGGCGTCTTTTTTGGAGGGGACCCTCTAAAATTCTTTCTTTTGGTTTCCCGCTCAATCCAACCAAAAAGCGTAGCCTCCAAAAAGGACACCGTATGGGGGCTGATCACTGTTGGCCAAATGGCCATAGAAAGCGTTGCCCATGTGGCTGTGGCTCAAAAAAACGGAACCAACATCAAGCCTAAGTGGAAACATGTACCAAAACCTGCGTAACCGGCCCCCACCGATCGTTTAATGTTGAGCCACACCCATGTGGGAAAGTAGACCCCTCTACCTATGAGAACCCCCCCGGGATCATGGGATCAGAAGAGCTTCCGAACCGATCCAGCGATAGGCTTTGTGGGTTTGGTAGCTTCGGGTTTCCTCCACCTGTGATCGTCTTCAATTGTTGATCTCTTTGTTGTGGAAACCAACGGACACAAGTAGTGAAATGTAGTGCTCCGTTTCATCCGGTTTTGAGCGGATGTCCCTGAACAACCTATCCCAGACAATCCATGTAGGCAATATATACCAACATTTGATCCATTTTGAGGGTATATGTGAGTAAACACGACCTACAGTCGGATTGTCTGGGTATGAACAAACAGTGATCCCAATTTTTCCGTGACCAAAATTGCACCCTTCCTTTGTCCCGGACGAAAAAAAACAGCTTGTCCAGTGTGGATGGTTTCGAAATCCAGAAATCGCGACGCAAGATGAAGCCTTGGTTGGAACCATACCGGTATTTACAGTGGGAATCGAACCGAAATGGTTTCGCAACCATCCACAGTATTGGTTCTCCCAAAAGGACGGCCAAAGGGGATGTGGGTGCGGGGTTCCACTTTATTTTAGCCTAATATGGACTTAATTACTCAAAGGGTTCTCCTTTTGGAGGGAATGAACCAACCCTGGGTTTAAGTCTACCCTGGGGTGGTCAAGATTGTGGAACCGACCTCACAAGATATTTAGGTTTCTCCCTTTTGGTCCATTTTTAGTCATGCCAGCAAAAGGTGAACATGTTTTATTCCTGGGCCCCCCAAGCCGCAACTGAGACAATGACAAACGATTTCACTGGGAGTGGCTGAGATGGCAAGGTTGATGGACTATGGCGAAGTGACTACGCTGGACACATAGCACATTCCTTTATGTTCCTTCGAAACAATTAGAAACCCCTGAAATGGGTATGTCCCCCATGGCTGGTTGTCCAACGGGCGTCCCTAGAAAAAACCATCCAACCCCCCCCTATGTTGAGCCTTTAAAGCCATCCAAAAAGGAAATCCCCAAATATTTTTGAGACAGACCCATATGGTTGTAGCCTCCCCGCACTCGGACTCACGAGTGGAGCGCGCGGGGTAGGCACTCGGCTCGAGAGACGTGACACCGTGAGGCGGTGGCGCGCGGGTGAACTCGCCGCTACCGGCGCCAGGTGGGCAGTTTGAGTCTGGGGAATTTGGTCGCTGGTTAGACGGGGAATGAGTTGGAACGACCCCAGGAGTCATCCCTTTGCTGAAGGGAATCCGCTTTCTCAATTGGAAAATCTCCGAGACTACTTTCATTCCCAACATCCGGAAGGAGGTCTCCGGACCCCCAGCGCAGCATTCAGCTGCGACATTTGGGGCCCCAAGAAAGGGCGTGGTTTCTGAATTTCCGGGTTGGTTTCATGTTAAAAGCCAACCAAAAGGGGGTATCCTAGAGAAAGACCACCCCCCCCAATTATACAAAAAATGCATAAACATATGCGTATTCCTCGTAGCTGGAGTTTTCATGACCCCTGTTCACAGGAGGCCAGTAGCCTGAAGATGAGAACCCTCCAACACTCCACGGCTTCCAGTTGCTCAGGCCAAAGCGTTGACGTCTTGCCCTCAAGTCCGGGGGGGTGCCCTTAACCCAGTTGCAAGAAGGATGTGTTTGTCCGTTTGGTAGGGGGAAGGGTTCTTTTCGTGAAGCTCAACCAGGCAAAAAGTGAAAAGTGCCAGCCCTATCGTTCCCATGGCCACTGGGCATCTGAGTTAAAATTTTCAACGGTGGAAGTGCACAGCGTAGCGTGGAAGTGCCCAGCAAGCGCCCTTTCCCGAAAGATCATGATTGGGCTTGAACAGGTGCCAAATGTCAACAAACGGCCCCGCTTTCACGCGAAGTCTCCTATTTTGAGGATGTCCTGAATTTGGTGGTGTCACCGGGGTTTGTCCTTTGTGCCCTTGTTTTGGTTGAAAGTATACACGGACGCCTCTGTTGAGCTTGTCCACTGGGTCCTACATGTTTCAACCGAGTGTCCAACGGTTTCTGTAGGACATTCTCTCCCTCTCTCCTTCCCCAGAATTAGCTCCCCTTTTTGCTTTTTTGCTTTTTTGGGGTCCCTTTGTTTTCCACTAACCCGCAAAAAGGATATTCTTTTGCTGGGGTCCCTTTTTTCCAGCCCAGTCTCTCTCTCTCTCTCTCTCTCTCTCTCTCTCTCTCTTTCGGAACGGGAACGGAGAAGTCGCCGAGTCTGGCAGTTTGAAAGGGAAACCAAACCGAGAAGCCACCCATCTTGGGTCCCCCTTGAAAAAAAATATTGGACAACCCAAACCACAAATTACCCTTCCACGAATCAACATGGAGCCTGACAGGGACCCCCCCCGGTCCCTTCACAAGGAAAATGGTCTTCCAGGACCCCCGTGTCAGGTTCCATGTTAGTTGGTGGGAAGCTGATTGGTACCAAGCGCCGCGCCGGCCAGCTCCGGACAGCTCCAAAAGCCGCAGAGGCCAGCGGACGGACAGTGGTTGGTCAAGCACCGATCCTAGAGCTTAACTCGCCTCCCGAGCTCACGGACTCTAGTGATTGGACCCCAGTGGCGAAGATATAGGTCGGTTTCTTTTTTCGGCCAATCCAGGCAAGTGAAGGTTGAAGACACCATGGCAACCACATTCGGGGAGTGACTATGGCGCCCCGTTACATGTTCAATCGCCACTGTGCTCTCTTGATATCAGCCGCGTGTGTTTTGCCATTCGGGCTTTGCTGGGACCCGGGGCGAGCGCATTTATATATCTACATGTGTCATGGTCAACGCGCCTGCTTGCTTGGGGTTAACCGAGATTGTCACCTTTCCTGGCAGAAATTCTTAGGCACTGAGTCATGGTTGTTGTTGGGAAACATTTTACATTTTTGCTTATTGCGGTTTAGTGGGAAATCCCCACTTAACTGCTAAAACATATTTTTTTACTCCCCTTCCAACGTCAACCAAGGAGTATGCCTACGAAGGGAACCATGAACATTACCCACATCTCGGGACCCAGGAACCTTTTTTCGCCAGGAACCATCCCAGTGTTGCTGTTGGAATGGTGGTTTCGGGAGAGAGGGATCCGCAGACTCATGTTTCCAGTGGGAGTACATAGCCACAATTGAAGGTTCTGGAACAGTCCCAACTATGAATGGGTGCAGACGCCTTTTCACAGTATGTAGTGTGTGTGTGTGTGTGTCTGTTTTTGAGGGTATCCTTGAACCCAAAAGAAAACCAACACCCATTTTGGGGGGCTCTATTTTGAGAACCCGTGTATCCCATATTTATTCCCGGCCTTGTCACCCATACCCAAATGGGAGATGGGGGCAGAGGACACCCAGAAACAGCTTTTGAAATATGTTTTCTCCGATCTGCAAGCATTGCCGGCCGCGTTTTGTCACTGATTCATACTCGCGCCAACTCGCGCGGCTATTAGCGATGAACCCCTAATTGGTGGTTGGAATTTGTGGGATTTGAACGCCTGGTGCTAGGTGAGAAACCACCCCAAACCACACCACCACACCAAACCCCCAATCTGTGGGAAGCTGAACACCTTCCGTGGCTCCCCCTATCTGAGTCATGGGATGTTTCAGAAGGCGAGAACTCGGCGACACGAAAGTTTCTGCCGCCGTTAGGCACTACGCAGCCCAACCACGCTTGGCATGACGCGGGGCCCTTAGATTCGATTTCCAGATGCTCTCTCCTCGCTTCCGGTTGCAATGAAGATGTCATTGTTGTTTTCCCCGGGTTTAAAAGGGAATCGATTTCACTACTGGAAAAATACTTGCTGGAAAATAAGTACTTGCTCATTTTTGTCCAGAGGACGTATGCGCAAATGGAGGCTTCTGCTGTTGTAGGGCTTCCTTTAGTCAACTGCCCAAACACCGCCCTGTTTTCCTTCGTGACTGGTCTGAATAAAGGGAGCTTGATGGAAGCGAATTCCAGGAGCGCACCTGAGAAATCTGGAAATTGACTTTGCTTGTTGGTATTTACTGGGGAATCATCATTCCGGGGCTAGGTGGTGCAGGATTTCGTAAATGGGAAACCGACCCTTGCCACCAAACCGGGCTCCAAACCACCAGGGGGTTCTTGATTCTCCGGTTGTACTGTTGCTGTGAATCCTCCCAACCCCTCATTGATGTACAGGGAGGGCAAGGGCGCATTGATGACGGGCCTTTGCTTTATGTCTTTCTTCTTGGTAGAAGGACCGACTCATAGCAAAAGGGGGGGAACATGATTTCAAGTTGGGGGCTGGGCATCACAAAGCCCACAAGCCCGATGCTTCTGCCTTGGGCATTCGTCTTTCATTTGCTTGGCGTTCTGGCGCGTAATCTGGTTGGTGTGGCGTACAGAAGTTGATTGATCATATTCCTTGTGGTTGGTAGTACTGGGATTGTGCTTCTGGCTCCATTTCTCATGGTCCCCAAACTCTAGTTTGCCACGCAGACCAGCACGCGTGTGATCTTTTTCATGTACGGTCAATGTTCATTGTTTCCCTTTGGGCTCCTTTAAAGACACCGCAAAGCCACAAAGAACCCGGTCAGCGCACTTTCCGGGCCAAGCAACAGTCAGCGCCTATCTACCGTCCCTCCAACAATCATGGAAACTCTTAGAGGGCTTTTGGAAGACAACTGTCCCTTGGTGAAACCCCATCACTCCCATGATTGTTGGAGGGAGCGTATACCTAAATACAAGATTCCGTCAGGTGACACACACACACACACCCATCCAAATGTTTGCTGTCACAAAAGGTTCTCGTTGTGTTCGCTGCCATTAAAAAGGCCCAGCCGGCTTTGACAAAGCGGCCCCCTCACACACACAGAACACACAACATTCGTCCCGCCAAAGTAACTCATTTTCTTGCTGAAACTGCCACAGGGTGTCTCGCCTCTAAGGATTGATTTCCTTCCCATTGCCATAGACATGTTCCTCAAGGGGCCACTTCTCCGATTGTCCGTGTCAGGTGCTGGAGCTTTGCAAGAAGGGCTTCGCCAACAAGATGGCGTCACGGCAAGGCATGTCTTCCACCAGTTAATTCGGAAATGATTTGGACCAGTTTCCTTTTAAAGGGACCGGCTCCCTGTGAGGTTCCATGTTTTTTTGGTGGGAGGGTATGTTGCAGGTGATATTTGGGTTTTGGGTAGGCGAACCCCAAAATGGGCTTGGGTGTCCATGTTTCCATTGTTTCCATGTCAACCAAAATCCGGAAGGTGTTGTTTGTTCAATTTGCGTCAGACTGTGAAAGCAAACGGAGGGAAATTGATTTTTGGCGGTGTCGATCGCCTCCAGGGTTGTCCTTTAGCAAACCTCAAAAATAAATCGGGTCTGAAGTCAATTGTCCACAAGGATAATTAAACATATGACGTTTCTTCCAAATTTTCCAAACCCTTGATCACCAGAAAATCGACATGTTCTCCCAAGCAGGTCGCGCGGACTCCTTTGTGAGGTAGGTCTTTTCCCAGACCACACTTCCAAGCCAAAGAGTTACTCGAAGGCATTTCATCTTAGGAAAACTTAGCTGCTGTTGACATTTGTTTAGGTTTTCAGGTTGTTTGGCTTTGTTTCTTTTTGGGTTTGGGGGCTGCAAGAAGACTAGTCAATTGCTTGCAAGCCCATCCCAAGTGTTGGAAAGTTCGATTCTGGAGGTTCGTGTTAGAAAAAGCCCTCGGCTGACAGAGTCACAGATCCCGCTTTTTCGGAGTCGCGCTTATCACCCATGATCTCAGGTTACAACAAGTTGGTGGTTTGAATCGGTTGTTTTTGGATTTGGATTTGATCCCTGGTTCTTGTAGGGGGTTCATGTTGGAAGCCCATCCGGAATCCGTTGCTGCCCGAATTGCCGGCGTTTCTTCCTGGTGTTCAGGTGGATGACTGGATGACTAATAAGAATCCATTGAGCGCCAAGCTGAGCCATTCAGGGACGGGCAAATGCGTTCCGGAGTCCACCTGCAAAAAAAGTTCCACTGGGAAATGAGCTGGCAATGGGTCCAGATGTCCCCTGGCTTTTGAGTGGGCAGCCTTGCCAAGGCAACAACAGCGCCACTGCATGTGTTTCTCCTGTTTGACACGCTTGTTTCACCATTGTTCCTTGACGTGGAAGGTTTCTCTCCCCCCCCGCCAAAAATATATAGCAAAAACAAAGAGCAAACAAACAAAGACAAAAAAAAGGCGTTCGTTTCACCGGCGAAACCATCCCCACGTCCGCCACCGTCTTCTTTCTCTCCTCACCGAGGAATCCCTGGCGGACCACCTCATCTCGGAGGTCCGCGCCGAGCTGCGGCAGGCCGCGTTTCCGGCGTCCGACCGAGAAGAAAAACCACCCCGCCCCGCGCGTGGTCTTTGTTTTGAGGCGAAACATACCACCTGTCTTTTTTGGGGGGTTGGATTTTAAAAGGGTCGCCAAACGGAAGACCAAGGTCCTGAAGTCGATTCCCCATTCTTTTCAAGCATCGTTCTGGTCAACCGGGTACACAGCCGTTTTCCCAGGGCTTGCGGAGGTTTTCTAGAAAGAAGGATGCCTGGAGGGCATGAATACACCCCTTGAATAAAACGTCCAAGAGTCCAAGAGTGGCCAGATTGTTGGTCCTTGAGCACCACAATTTAAGCCAAATATGGCTTTGAATTCAGAAACAAATACAGTGAAACAGATGGCACTGGGATGGGTTCTATTCGATGTATCAGGGAACCCCATCTTCTAGAAAACGGTTTGGATGTGGCTTTTGTGGGTAAAATAATACTACAAAAGGACCAACAGGGGGAAGCACTGGTGAAATCCACAAAAAGCGCATCCAAACCGTTTTCTAGACATCTATTTTCCAAAAGGTCACGTATGCACAAAGCAGTAGGTCCAGATGGAAGACTGTTTAGATGGTTAGCCAAACTGGAGACGCTTATCATTCGAGAAACCACCCGAATATAGCGCAGCTAACTTGGATCTGCAGCCTACGTCAGGTAGGCTTGTTAGAACCATGGTCACACGTCAGCAACCCTGGTACAACCTACTTGCTTAGTAGATTGAACATAGGACCTGATGAACCGATTGCATGGTGTATATTTCCAGGCAGTTTCCCAAGGTGAATGACCGAGTTCCGTATTGCTGTTAAGAATTTGGGGGAAACATACAGTGCCTTTCCCCTTTGCGGTTGTACTAGGGCTTGTTTTTTTTGTTCGAGTCGTTCGTGACGGTGGATTCTAAGCATATGATGAATGAGCCATGAGGAGACCCTCAAAAAGGAGGGGGGGTTGAGGCAACACCCTGATAAGTGGCAGTTTTAGTGGTGTCTCTTATTTTCGGCGGGGGGCGAATATAGTAAGTGACCCTTCGCAATGTTCCTCTTGATTTGGAAATGGTGGTTCCCTTGATTTCGTATACAGGCAAATGAAAAACTGGACAATCAAAAGTCAAGCCAGGAATCATACACCCCTGTTGGTTAATATGGGGGTGTGGGTCCCCTTGTTTCAAGGGCTTGTCTTGTAGGGGAACCCTTTTTCTTGGTCTCCCAGTTTCCCTTGCCAACCAGAAAAGTGCCCAAGAAGAACCACCTGAGTCACCTTAGTTCAATGGGCAACCATCCCTCCAAGCCACCCATTTGACCCAGGGAAGCTGATCAGTGGTTTGGATTGGTGGCTTGGGGCTTTGACCCGGAAGGATAATCAATCCCAACTGCCAATTGGGAAGCTGAATTTGTTGGGGATGGTTTTAAGGGGAACCCAACCATCCACAAACAAACTCTAAAGCGAGCCCAACCATCACAACTCCAAGGTCTGTTTGTTTGTTAAGCCGCTTTTCGCGGCTTAAGGGAACTCCCAAAAACAGCGAGATGCCATTCTGGGGGTCCCCTAAAGCCAGCGGCCGAATCACACCCAAAGACAAACATCGCCAAAGCCAATTTTTTGGGGCTCCAAAACCAAGCGACAAATGGCTATGGGTCAAATCCCCGTACCCCCAGTGAACATCCATAGCCATTTTTGGGGCTCCAAAACCCCCATATCAAGAAGTAGGTTGTGTATAAATCCTGGCGTAACGTTAATTATCCAGTTGTTAATTTGCCTGTATACGAAGCCAAGGGAACCACCAACAGCCAACCGCCAACAATCCCTTGATGGCTTCCAACCGCATCTCTTCGCGGAGGGCACGGCCCAGCTCTGTGGCGACTTCTTAGAGAAGCTGAGTCACCGCGAGCACGCCTTGGACGGCACGTGCCTCCGGCGGAGGTTTTTGGCGGGTCTTTCGGGTTTTCCCGGGGGGAGGGAAGGGCGGGGGGCTGGAAGGTGTGGCTCGTTTCGGGTAAAAGTGCGCGCTGGGCTGGAAAGGAAGCCAAAGGGAACATGTCGCCCTCTCTTTTGTGGTGGCCATCTATTTTGACGTAGAAAGCCACATAATTTGCGACCGTGTCAAGGACTTCTTGTTTGGAGAACCCCCCCGATTTTCGGTTGTCGCAGTTTGATTGTCTGTTGTTGCATTCGCCGGAGTCGCCGGTCTCCGGCGGGAACCGTTTGGGGGGGGGTTCTCAAGGAGCGTTTTTGTTTGTTTCTGGAGGGATTGTTTGGGAAGGATGCTTTTTTACTTGCTGATTTGTGTGTGTGTGTGTGTTTCTGTGTGTGTGTGCGCGTTATGTTTGGCTCATTTCCTATATGCAGGGAGTTGTCTCCGCTTTCCGGAACCAATCAGTGGCGTGCCAAAGGTTTAAGGCGGCTTGGGTGAAACTACCGGCTTCCCCAAGGGTTTGATTTGGGATCTTCCAAAGGGTCCATAGAGCTGGAGGCATACCCAGAAGTGCTCGCAAGTGTTTTTTGTCTTGTTTTTGCGAGTTTTGTTTTTTGTTTTTCGTGTGCGCGTGTGTGTGTGTGTGTGTGTGTGTTTCCAAGCTGCCAAAAATCAGAAGCGTACCCGAGTAAACCGCTTGGACAAGCAAGCGGTTCCAAGCGTCCCAAGCGCCCCAAGCTCCGCCAGGCTCAAGATTCTCACTGAGAAGTTGGACACGCTTGAAGGCAAGGTGGCGGCACCTGGGCATCCAAAGGAGAGAGAGAGAGAGAGAGAGAGAGAGAGAGGGAGAAGCTCCCGGAAAGAAGGAAGGAAAGAAAGAAATAAGGAAGGAAGGAAAGAAAGAAAGGCAGAAAGAAATAAGGAAGGAAGGAAAGAAAGGAAGAAAGAAATAAGGAAGGAAGGAAAGAAAGAAAGAAAGAAATAAGGAAGGAAGGAAGGAAAGAAATAAATAAGGAAGGAAGGAAAGAAAGAAATAAATATAGAAAGAAAGAAAGAAATAAGGAAGGAAGGAAGGAAAGAAAGAAATAAGGAAGGAAGGAAAGAAAGAAATAAATAAGGAAGGAAAGAAAGAAAGACATAAGGAAGGAAAGAAAGAAAGAAAGAAAGAGAGAGAGAGAGAGAGAGAGAGAGGGAGAAAAGGAGAAGAGAGAGGGCTACGAATTTTGGTAGGGAACCACCTCAACAATGGGTGGTGGACATGAATCCTGACCTAATTGGCCTGCAGAAACCTTTGCAACCATGTTACGCATGTTACGGTAGAACCAAACATGTCCATGGGGTTTTGGCGCTGCTCACTTGGTTTCCTCATTTTGGGGGTTGCCATTTGGCTGTGGCTCAAAAACATGTACTAAAGCGGCACCTTTGTAAATGGAACCAAAGACTAAAACCAGCGTAACCTTAGCTCTTAAATTTTGAGCCACACCCATTTGTGAACCTTTCCCCGTTTTGGGGAGTGCTGGGCAAAGAGACAACTGTTGCTGGTGGTTTGACCAATTGTACGTTTCGGCAGTTGTCCAATGAAGCGTCGCAAGATTCCAGGGGTACCTTCCATTGCCATTCTTTCCAGGAATTCTTCTTTCTAGACAACCTTCAGACACCCAGGGAAAACAGCGATCGGTTCTTGAAAAGAACGATGGTTGAGCCGAATGGACACGGACTCAACCCCTAGAAAACAAAAACGAGTTCGCCTCAGGGTTCCGGGGCCTCTCTTCCAAAGCCCTCTCAGCTTCCATTGGGATCGGGGGGGCACCTGCAAACCCTTGGGCTCAAGCCACCATTAAAACCAAGGGGGGTTATATAACCACCATTGCTTACGTGAGGTGCTTCACCATCTAAAATGGGGTGGACCATTCTGTCAAGGTTTAATCCCCAAAAGTGGTAGACATGCATCCCAAAGAATTCTGAAGGTTAAAGGGTCTCCAATTAACTTTGAGGACTTGTGAGGGAATGGATTGACATGAGAGCGTGTCTTTTGTTGAGGAGAGAACTGCAGTTCCCTTCAAAACCACGAACAAAAGGTACCCTCAACAACAAGACATTTTCACAAGGGGCCACTTGGTCAGGTAAAAACAGGGCTCCACACACTCATGACACTGGGTGGCCTGACCGCCTCAACCTGGTTTGAGAGGTTGCCAATTTCCATTCCACTCAACCTCACCCCACCCCAGCACCCCGCCTGCATTGCACGCCCAGGACCCCGTCACCTCACTTTCCTCGCCTCGAGAAGGTCACGACAGGACCACAAACCACGAAGGGACGAGGGGGGGGGTTCACCCCCCCATAGCCCACAAACGGACGATTTTATGGGAAGACCCATTCTAGTTTGGACTTGTTTTGGCCCATCCGATGCATCGAAAATGAGTTATTCGGGGTACGCCGAAAGAAAAAAACAGCCCGATATTTCGAGGATGCGGGCGAAATCATCGCAAAGGCGCCATAAGCCTCGTAGCTTACTGTATCTACAGTGGACCGGTCTCAACGGAAAATTGGACCGTCGAGTACGTTGTTGTTGTTGTTTTTTTCCCCCAACAGCGGAAAGCGTTTTTGGGGTCGATAGGCCCAGACACCGGCTCGTTCGGGGTGTTTGCTTTCAGGAGTGCCCAGGTTCCGGGAGGGTCACCTGGGTTCAGTTCCTCCTTTTGGCGGTTTCTCTGGCGATCTGCCTGGTGTTCAAGCTTTGTTTGAAGAGCAAATGCGCATGAACAACGCCACCTTGGCGGCCTTTTGACCTGTGGGTTTCCCATTGTGCCCATTTTCGTCAAGGTTCCGAGAGTTTAACCTTTATGCTCAGGTTCCAGTGAGAAAGGACGTGGTTGCCCGGCAAGATTGAGGTTCCCTTCTGCCAGGCGTCATATACACCATTAACCGTCCTTTTCGTTTGGGTTCCCGCAGCGGTTCCCTTCTCCTTTGATCAGACGAAGACCCGGGCAAAAACATGAAACATGATCGACGGTATTTTTCTCTTCCTTAGGGGGGAGGGGGTTTGTAGGGAGCCCGCCAAACGTGGAAAAAGGGCTCCTGGAAGAAGGTTGACTATTTGGAACGGGGGAATTCACCAATGAACAAGTGAGACAAGGTGCATTTTGTTACGATGTGTCAACCCCGGAAAAAGAAGCAGCAAGCAAACCAGAAGCAAGAAACGAAGGGCAACAACAAACTAAAGACATACGACACGCCTCTTTCCCGCTGATGTTTTTTTCAGCGGAACGCGGGACCCAGCCGTTCTCGTCCTCGTCAGGACGTGCAGCGAGCGAGGCGTGGCGGCGCTGCGCTCGAACGATGACCTGCAGCCAGTTCTGGAGCGGCTCCAGCACTCTGCCCCTCGGACGCTCGCGACGGCCCTTTGGGCCCTTTGGCCCTTTGGCGTGGGGTTCGTTCCCCAGCTAGGCGCCATTTTTAACCGTAACTTTTGGCTGGGAGGGTTCCCCTACTAAAATAGACAGCAGAACAAAGTTGGTATCCTTATTCTAACCTCTCTACTGGAGGACCTAGTTGAGCATGGCTCAAGGCCCCTTGATGGGGTTTAAGGAGGGCCCTGATCGAAAAAGCGGCAGAGATGGGCGAGGTCCAAAAACGGGGGGATCTGTTGGAGGAAGTTTTGCAGGCCGAAAATGGAAACCAAGCGTCAAAGGGATGGGAAGGATCTCGAGAAAGTAGGTTTATGCTTGGTACTAGCGTCATCCTCGGAAAGTAGGGTTTGTGCTTGGTTTCTCTATGATTTTCGCGTGTTTCGATCCTCATTTGGGGGAATACTGCAGAATGGCATGTGTGGACACGTTTTTTTTTTCCCCCTCCCCTTGGCGGCTCTAGTTTGGTTTAGTGGAGTCATAAACCGGCTAGCCCCCTAAACCCCTGTCTGGAGGGTTACTTAGGTAAATTTTGTGTGATTTTGTCCCCGTTGGTATTTTTTGAGGGGCTATTGCATCGCGTGCCAAGCCTGCAGTAGGTGCTCGTGATGTCCCAGGAGCAACAGCTTACTTAGAACGGTTGTCTTTTTGTGGCCTTGCGTCCTTTGGTACTTTTTAATGTATCTTACAGGGTCGCACCAAGGCCCCATGCAGATTTGTATTTTTTTGGGGGGGGGTACCCCCCTAAATTCCAACAAACTGTGGTTTTCCTCGGGTTCTCCTTCAAAAAACCAGCCAAACAGGGTACCCTGCAAAGAAGGATTCACAGCCACAGGACCGTGTCCTCTAAGGATACCCCGATCCTTTTGGAAGGCGCGGGGTGGTTCAGCCCCTCGCCAGCCTTTGAGGCTTTTCCCCCGTTTTGGTTGGAGGGCCAAAAGCAAACCGCCGTCGCCCAGTGGCTGCTCTGTTTTTTCCAGACACTTTCCCCTCAAAACAGGAAAACAGTTGCTACGATTAAAGGCAGAAGCACTGGCGATCCAGGCGGATTGCATTTGTTGCGATCCAACGAAACAAAGACACGACCATGGATGGATCCCCGGCCAGAAATTTCTGAAAACGGAGAGCCCTTGGATCAGACAACAAAGTCGGGGACCCCTTTGGAGATGGTGCCCTTTAGGTGTCCCCTCAATATCATGAAAAGGGAACACCTCTGTTTTCAGAACCCCCAGGAAGAAAAGAAAAAACACAAGCACCGTTTTGGGCAGTACTTTCGGTTTTGGACTTTGGACAAGCAGTTGTTGGGGGGTGGCATAGATCGGTTTAAGCCTATTCTTGGATTCCCGAAAACATGGAAGGCTTGGAAATACAGCGCCCCACTTTAGCCAAAGGGGGTTCGAACCGATGAGGTTCGGGAGGTCAAAACGACATATACTTCGCTGGCTTAGTTGGGAGGGCGGAACACGCCAAACTTAAGCTGGGGGCTTGCTCATTTTCCGTGTCTTGGAAAAAAAACAAGAAGTTTTCACCGTGGCTCATATGCTGCGTGGTCACAACTCCGTTGCACTGACCTCTTAATTGCAGTTCTAGGCAACCAAGTTAAGATGGTGTAAGGATTTCTCGGATTCTAAATAACCATGTGTATCTGGGGGCGAGGTAGCCCTTAACATATGTGATTTCTGCTAGAGGAGTTAAGGGCAAGGTGGCAAGTGTGTTACTTCCAGATGCTTTGTTTGCCAGCAAATTGAGCAGCAATGGGTTGTCATGGAGGTGGGTGTCGCCTTTACAGGTCATCGTCGAGGACAAACTTTGGGGAAACAGCTGCCAACCTCGAGTTGTTGAAGGATTTCTTGGGACACAAAAAGCAAACCACGTGGCATTGTTCGTTTCTTTGTTGTTGGTGTTTTCCGGAAGATGCTATTTGTGTCATGTTTCTTAACCCTGGGGCTGATTGTGTGGCTCCGGACGTGAACGGTCGCAAAAGGGGTCCCAACATACCCACAGGGGAAACCGGTTTCCTGTTTGGTTTTTGGTCGACCCCACACAAGGGCAAGGGGACCATGTTGAGTCTTCCCCCACTTTCCTTACCCGCCTCCCCCCCCCCCTTCCTTTTCTTGAGTCCTTTCGGAACCCGAGGAGACCATGCAAAAGGCGGGATCGGGATCCGGGGCTATCTTTTGGGGATCCGGGGCTTAGGCTCGGAACTTCCAAACCCAAACCTGGGGTGGCTTAGGGAAACCCAAAGGAAGACCGAGTTTAAATTTGGGGAGCCCCGTGTGGGCTGGGGGGGAGGGTTGAGCCCTTAAGGCCTGCTTAAGGGCTTGTGTGGCCCCCCCCCCCTCCGTCCCCCCCACCCTACTCCTCCCTTTTCCCCCGCCCCCCAAAAAACATGACACCATCTCTTAAGGTCAACACTTGACGCTTGGGAAAGTCCGACAAAGCCTCTGGAGTCTCCGGTTCCCAAAATGAACATGGGGCTCAAAAGAAAGGGGTGAGCTTTTGTTATGGGTCAGAAGGAGATTCCAGGTGTGGTTTTCTTCTCTCTTTTTCGTGGGATGCGGTTTGCCGCATGCCCAAAATTCTCAGGTTGCCATTTGAGTCACTTGAGGCTCTTAAAGGGCTTGCTCACTCCCGTTCCGTTTCGGACTTTGGCCAGCCCAAATGGCTTCAGCTTCAAAGCTTTTCAGCTTTGGGTACAACCTCGGATGAGTAAGCCCCTGGTTATGGGGGGGTCCCCCTTTGGTTGGAATCTTTTACTTTTGGGGCCAACGCTGGGCCAACACCTCCCCTCTTGTTAGGACAGGTTGGTCAATTCGTCCAACGCGGCAAAACACGCAACGACGGAATCTTGGAGAATCGCCCGGGCCTGCAGGCTCCCATGATTTTTGCAACAGGTTGCTTTGGTTTCCATGTGGAGCATAGGCTTTGGGAGAATACCAAGGGACCGGCCTATGTGCTTTTTGTGTCCCATGTGGTTTTTTCCAGAAAGCATGAGCCCAAACGGGGCCATTGCAGCAGGTCAGTTAGTCTAGGTCCCCCAGCCAGGTGCCCTTCTTAGCCGCTTTTTTTGTTTTTCCCCTACTAAATAAACTACAGAAAAAAAGTTGGTACCAACTTATTCTAGCCTCTTGACTGGAGGACCTAGTAGTGATCAGGGGTCAAACGTCATAAAGGGCAAGCACCTTCCCATGGCTGGCTCTGAATCAATCTTGGAATGTTGGAAGGAACAAACTCTGAGGGTCCCTTGGTATTCTTGGGGTTGGTTGCTTGTGTTGGTCAAAAGAGGTGAGTTGGTCCCTCCTCCAAAGATGCCAAGGGATGAGTGGCTCTTCTTTGTCAACACAAGAAGAAGAGATTGAAGATCAATTCAGGGCCTCCCCAAGAGGCAAGTCTTCCCATTTCCTCCTCTTCTATGATTGGGTAAAGCCCGTGATTTAAACTAGGTGTCCTGTATTTTTTTTCCCCGGTTGACCCCGGATTAACGTGATTCGGTAGGTGTCCTGTCGTCTTTTGTTTTTCCGGTTGACCCCGGATTCCTCCACCTAACTTGGAAGCTCCCGGGACCCCTTTCTTCCATTTGCTGAAATGAATATTGTTTTATTTCCCGCTGTTGGTGTTAAAGGGAATCTATCACTACTGGAACTATGTTTATGTTTTCCAGGGGTCTTAACCAAATGGAAGCTTTGGAAGACTTGGTTCCATTTACAGGATCGGCCGATTCGGGGAGCTCCCGCGTTGCTCTGAGGGAATCGAAAGTGGTCCCTGGGTTTGGGGAATCGGAAGCGCGCTGAGGCTGCCACCAAGCAGACAGAGCTCCAGCTGGACCGATCTCTCCGTGCTCTTTTTTTCTGAAGCGAAACCAACAGGGGAAACCAGCCCATTTGGGGGTTACTCGTGTAGTAACCCTAGGTCCCCCAGCCAGGTGCCCCTTTTGAGCCCAACTTTTTTGGTTGGGAGGGTTCCCCTACTAAAATGGACTACAGAAAAAGGGTACGAACTTATTCTAACCTCTCTACTGGAGGACCTAGAACCTCTTTTGACACATAACCCAACTCCGGTGCGTTTTTTGTTTTTGTTTTGGGGCCTCCCGAACCGTTTCACATGTCGGCGTCACTTACTGTGGTTGTGCATGTTTTTGAGTGTACCCTGGTTTGGTTGGTTTGAAAGGAGCACGAGAGGGACAGCGACGATGTTGAAAGTCCCCTGATTCAAGCACCCCCATCTGAAACAGAATCTGAAGATATTGTTTGAGTGAATCATAACGACCTCACACGACCTCACCCCCAAATGGTGGTTTAGGTGGGGAGTAGCCCCCCAACCACCCTATTTCAGGTTGGTGAAATATTATAATTCAACCAGCTTTTGTGTTATGCCCCTTGGGCTACGTTGTTCCTTTGTTTGGACGGGGCTTCCCCTTGAAATCGACTACTTGGGTGTTCGATTTGCCATGTCAGGATAGGTTGTATCTGTGACCGTTCGGTTATGACCCGCGAATGTCGGGTTAACCTTCTTTTTTGTGGGGGTTGTATCCGAAGTGGGGAATCACTTACGAACCTGGGCGAACATCCAAGTAGCAAAAAAAGGAGATCGCTGAGAAACCGTTTTTTTCCAGGGGACCACACCGCAAATGGAGGCTAGCCAAAAGGCTTCCATGGCAATCCAGTGGTCTATGGCGAGCTCGAGGCAAAACGTGAAGGTCTGAGGGGAGGCCCTTATCCGTTTGAGAAATGTGTCCAGATCCTCAAAATACCCTAAACACCCTAAACATGGGGTATTAATTTTGGGTTGATTTCCCTCTGTTTTAAGGGTAGTTTGAGTCGGGTCCAGGTAGTAATGTGCCAAGCTGGCTTACTGGGGTCTCGGCTAGTAACTAGTAGCGGCTTGCTCAGTGCAGCTCACCCTCCAAATCCCGTTTGTTTGGATTCACCACCAAACAGGAAGAAGGAGCAACCAAAAAGGGGTCCAAATCAGGATCACTGTGCAACTGGGAGGGACTTACCCTCCTTGGTGTTGAACCCGGTTTACCTCGGAACAAATGGGATTCCCCTCTGATATCCATTCAGCACATGAGGTTGTGGCCATTTTGATTTTGGTCCAGTCGAAAGCAAGACCAGTGAGGGTAGCGGGTAGTCCACTTTCCCAGTGATTCCATTTGGCTGTAAAGTCGGTTATTCCCGGGGAACCGCCCTTGCAACCAACAGACAAATAGATCGAAGGGTCACCCCAAAAAGTCGGCGAACCGGTTAACCTGGCCGGGATCCACCGGGCGCTGTCATTTTCTTACGCATGGCTGCGGTATGTTGGGCCAAGGTTGGCGGTGACTCAGGAAGACGAGGGCGGGAGCTGAAACATTTGCTCGGTTGGATCTGTGTTTCTCGAGCCCAGAAAGGGAGGCTGAACCTAGATTGGTGGGATTTGCTCAGGGAGTCTACTTGGGTGTAACCCACAACCCTAGTGGGGTCAACCTTGCTATTTGGGGGGTAAAACCCAAGCAGCGAGCTACTTGAGAACTTGGCCGAACATCCAAGTAGGAATTCCAGGGTGCCGTGAGGTCCACGGGGTCTTGCGTTCTTCGGGTCACCGAACTGTTCGGTTAGGTCACTTTGGTGGAACGGCGCTAAAGAAGGGTATGTTTCGAAATCGGAGGACCCCCCTTGAACCCAGAAGGCCCCCCCAGTTTGGGTCTTTGTCGCATTTGGACGTGCGCCATTTTTGGAGCGTAATGTGTTTGCTGCGCCATGCGCAACGTGCGCAGTTGCTAAAAAAAAAACGTAAAAACCGCAGAGAATTGCAAAACATGTTTTCTCAAAATGTGCAAATCGTTGTCCACACAACGCAACGCCCTCTGGCAAGGACCGCTTAGAATCCTGCAACCGGATACCCTGTAGATTGGTGGTGTTTCTTTCCCCTTCCCTTTACACCACCCCTAAAAAGGGTACCCTAAAAAAAAGACATGCTCACACACACACACTCAAGGGCAATCCAGTAGGTTGTAAGAATGTCCGCCATGGCTTATCATAGCTGGCTCAAGCTGCTGCTTTCTCGCCGGACACAGGGCCCGTTGGAGCGGCTTTTGGCTCTCTGGAATAAATACTACTTGCCATCAACTTGCATCTTGGCATCCCCCAAAAAACACAGTCTAAACCATCTCGGCATAACCCACCTGCCCACCCACTGCGTTTTGCTTCCACCCCCACCCTCCCCCCTCCCCCCTCCATCTAGGAGCGGCTCACAGAGCTCGGGGAGCAGCTGTCACGGTCCAGCGGCAGTTTGCTGAACTCCCTGCGGTGCCTGGAGCAGCAGGCGGGCGCGCGCTGCCCGGAGCTGGGGCGAGCGAGCGAGCGAGCGAGCCAGCCGGCGGGGGGGGGCGAGCGGGGCCGGGAGAGATGGCTTCGGGATGGCAGAAATTTGGGAGAATGCCCCTGGAATTCCGCACCCGTTCAAGAGCAGAGGGGTGCGTGTGTGTGTGTGTGTGTGTGTGTGTGTGTGTGTGTGTGTGTGTGTGTGTGTGTGTGTGTGTGTGTGTGTGTGTGTGTGTGTGTGTGTGTCTGTGTGTGTGTGTGTGTGTGTGTGTGTCTGTGTGTCTGTGTGTCGTGTGTCTGTGTGTCTGTGTGTCTGTGTGTCTGTGTGTCTGTGTGTCTGTGTGTCTGTGTGTCTGTGTGTCTGTGTGTCTGTGTGTCTGTGTGTCTGTGTGTCTGTGTGTCTGTGTGTCTGTGTGTCTGTGTGTCTGTGTGTCTGTGTGTCTGTCTGTGTCTCTGTGTCTCTGTGTCTCTGTGTCTCTCTGTGTCTCTGTGTCTCCGTGTCTCTGTGTCTCTGTGTCTCTGTGTCTCTGTGTCTCTGTGTCTCTGTGTCTCTGTGTCTCTGTGTCTCTGTGTCTCTGTGTCTCTGTGTCTCTGTGTCTCTGTGTCCCTGTGTCTCTGTGTCTCTCTGTGTCTCTGTGTCTGTGTGTCTGTGTGTCTGTGTGTCTGTGTGTCTGTGTGTCTGTGTGTCTGTGTGTCTGTGTGTCTGTGTGTCTGTGTGTCTGTGTGTCTGTGTGTCTGTGTGTCTGTGTGTCTGTGTGTCTGTGGTGTCTGTGGTGTCTGTGTGTCTGTGTGTCTGTGTGTCTGTGTGTCTGTGTGTCTGTGTGTCTGTGGTGTCTGTGGTGTCTGTGTGTCTGTGTTCTGTGTCTCTGTGTCTGTGTCTCTGTGTCTCTGTGTGTGTCTCTGTGTCTCTGTGTCTCTGTGTCTCTGTGTCTCTGTGTGTCTGTGTGTCTGTGTGTCTGTGTGTCTGTGTGTCTGTGTGTCTGTGTGTCTGTGTGTCTGTGTGTCTGTGTGTCTGTGTGTCTGTGTGTCTGTGTGTCTGTGTGTCTGTGTGTCTGTGTGTCTGTGTGGCTGTGTGGCTGTGTGGCTGTGTGTCTGTGTGTCTGTGTGTCTGTGGGCTGTGTGTCTGTGTGTCTGTGTGTCTGTGTGTCTGTGTGTCTGTGTGTCTGTGTGTCTGTGTGTCTGTGTGTCTGTGTGTCTGTGTGTCTGTGTGTCTGTGTGTCTGTGTGTCTGTTGGTCTGTGTGTCTGTGTGTCTGTGTGTCTGTGTGTCTGTGTGTCTGTGTGTCTGTGTGTCTGTGTGTCTGTGTGTCTGTGTGTCTGTGTGTCTGTGTGTCTGTGTGTCTGTGTGTCTGTGTGTCTGTGTGTCTGTGTGTCTGTGTGTCTGTTGTCTGTGTGTCTGTGTGTCTGTGTGTCTGTGTGTCTGTGTGTCTGTGTGTCTGTGTGTCTGTGTGTCTGTGTGTCTGTGTGTCTGTGTGTCTGTGTGTCTGTGTCTCTGTGTCTCTGTGTCTCTGTGTCTCTGTGTCTGTGTGTCTGTGTCTCTGTGTCTGTGTGTCTGTGTGTCTCTGTGTCTCTGTGTCTCTGTGTCTCTGTGTCTCTGTGTCTCTGTGTCTCTGTGTCTCTGTGTCTCTGTGTCTCTGTGTCTCTGTGTCTCTGTGTCTCTGAGTCTGTGTCTCTGTGTCTCTGTGTCTCTGTGTCTCTGTGTCTCTGTGTCTCTGTGTCTCTGTGTCTCTGTGTCTCTGTGTCTCTGTGTCTCTGTGTCCTGTGTCTCTGTGTCTCTGTGTCTCTGTGTCTCTGTGTCTCTGTGTCTCTGTGTCTCTGTGTCTCTGTGTCTCTGTGTCTCTGTGTCTCTGTGTCTCTGCGTCTCTGTGTCTCTGTGTCTCTGTGTCTCTGTGTCTCTGTGTCTCTGTGTCTCTGTGTCTCTGAGTCTCTGTGTCTCTGTGTCTCTGTGTCTCTGTGTCACTGTGTCTCTGTGTCTCTGTGTCTCTGTGTCTCTGTGTCTCTGTGTCTCTGTGTCTCTGTGTCTCTGTGTCTCTGTGTCGCTGTGTCGCTGTGTCTCTGTGTGTCTGTGTGTCTGTGTGTCTGTGTGTCTGTGTGTCTGTGTGTCTGTGTGTCTGTGTGTCTGTGTGTCTGTGTGTCTGTGTGTCTGTGTGTCTGTGTGTCTGTGTGTCTGTGTGTCTGTGTGTCTGTGTGTCTGTGTGTCTGTGTGTCAGTGAGTCTGAGTGTCTGTG